GAAGGTCTCAAGATCGAATGAATATACCGCTAGAACATGAAAATATACACTATACACTTCCACACGTGTGTGTGTGTGTGTGTGTGTGTGTGTGTGAGAGAGAGAGAGAGAGAGAGAGGTGGAACAAGGGGAGGAAAACTGACCTTAGCCAGCGTACTCCGCGGACGTCCAAGGCGGCAGTGGGTCGCAGTGGCTGAAGAATGCACTACACGGTGGATTGCAGCAGCGGACACAACATGGKGTGCAGCCTTTTTTTTTTGCGCGGGGACTTGGAAAAGTATGGGGTTGGAATTCAAATTCTTAGCGCCTCCCCCCTGGAGGGCATCTCAGGAAGATGCATCCCTCACAGAAGGGCAAATCGGACAGGAAGCAGGGGAAATAGGACCCCCGGTCCGGTAGGGGCATTCCAAAAAGTTGTGCCCCTCACTGACAGGCGCCTGTTCGAAAGTTCAGAGGCCCAGGGGCAAATCAGGGTAAGTCGGCCGTCGGAGGGGCAAATCGCAAATTAATGCAAACTTCAGGGGCATTTCGAAAATTTTCCCAAAAAAAAACACTCTGTATAAACGGAAGGAAACACCATATCCATACAAACACACTGGAAGCCAAGCTCCACTAGCAGTTAATTAGTTTGCTAGCACTGCTCATCAACGGCTGTCCAATCGGAAAACGTCAAGGCTATGGGCATCGCTCCGCTACACAACATTCTACATGCATCTGGACACAAAACATGGAACAGATGCATTCGGACTGATCCAACATTCCAAACACAATGGAATCATTGTCAGCTCCAGATCTATCTAGAATGCTAACCACTGTAACCAGTGTGGGAGCGATGCCCTCTACAGAAACACACAAAAACGTTTTTTCAACTGAGCTGCTGATTGTGATCGAAGGGTAGATCAACCAGAGAGACAAAGGGCCTCGCTCCACTACTCGCCACATACACGAGAGACAAAAAATAAGGACTCCGAGGCGTATCTTTCCAGCTTCTAGGGGCAAATGCATACCCATTTTGCACATTTGGCAAGTAGTGGAGCGAGGTCCAAAAGCACATAACAGGCATCACACTTCATTTAGCAAAACCGCACATTCAATAGCGAGGCATAGACTTGAAAATCCATGCGGCACTAGATTGCCTGAGAAGGTACTCACACAAGGACCTAAACCTTCAGGAGACAATTCAATTAAATTCCGGAGGATTGATTCGAGGGAGGGGGGGGGGGGGGGGGGGGGGGGGGGGGGGGGGGGGGGGGGGGGGGGGGGGGGGGGGGGGGGGGGGGGGGGGGGGGGGGGGGGGAGGGGGAGGCCACATCCAATGGGGTAGTCAGGAACCCAAAGTTTTCGATCCACTCCAGTATAATTCACCTTTGGCCTTCTCGTCAAGAAGGAATGGAGACAATTCAAGTGATTTTGAGACAATTTACTCAAGGAGGGGAACTTCAAGGGGAAGGACATCCACTTGAAAGGGGAAGTAGTGAGGACCCCAAAGTTTTCGATCCACTCCGGTACTCACATTTGGCCTTCTCATAAAGAAGGAATCCAAGGTTTCTCTGTGCACCCTTTAGCCCTTGCTCGGCACCTCGGCGGAACCATTCTTCAGCTTGGACCAGATCCTTTTCCACCCCCAGAGCGTCGCGATAACACATTCCGAGGTTGCTCTGCGAGTCGGCAAACCCTTGTGCAGCAGCCTTGTAATACCACGTGTAGGCGTCCACCGAACTCTTCACGACTCCGATTCCCTTCTCATAACACCATCCCAAATTATGCTGAGCCTGAACATACCCCTGTTCTGCTGCAAGATTGTACCACTTCACTGCCTCAGCCTCGTTCTTTTCAACTCCGGCCCCCCGCTCGTAGCAGTAGCCCAGGTGGGTTTGCGCCCTCGCATCTCCCTGAGCGGCCGCCATGTTGTACCATCTCACCGCCTCTACCTGATCCTGTGGAACGCCCTTCCCGTGGAAATAGAGATAACCCAAGTTGCACTGAGTCTCGGCATTACCTTGCAGAGCCGCCTTCCGGTACCATTCCGCAGCCTGAGCCTCATCCTTTCCGACACCCTCTCCATTCCCATAGCAAGCTCCAAGCTTATTCTGCGCCAGGGAATCGCCCTGCTCTGCGGCCTTCTGAAGCCACTCCACTGCTTCTACAGCCATACTGTCATCATCAGATGCTGCACAACATAATATTCCATCCCAGCCCGTCCCGACCCGTCCCAACCCATCGCACCGTGTCCAACACATGCCAACAAACCCGACCGATTGCATGGCGTAAGTAAAAGAACGGACAAGGAAAACGAAGGACTCAAACATTCGATCACTGGAGCAAAAGGGCCCCACCGCATCACTCACTTATCAAAAAACAATGTGAACGCATCTTGCCCAAGAAGTTGGCCAAAGACATCCATTACTATCATAGTAATGGATGTATCTTGCTGGCTTCTGCGGAGCAATGCGCTCAGTGACACCTTTTTCTTCGCTTTGTGAGTAGTCTGGCGAGGCCCCAAAAAGCGCAACATTGGATACTAACAAGGGAAGATCGGGATCCATTGCCAGAAGGCCCAGAACATTGGATGCATGCGTAATATGGGCAGATTTTTGGAGGAAACAGCCAGTGTCAGTTCCTGGCTGAAGCATAACAGCTATATAGAGCATATTAAGCAGAAAAGAGAGGCAAGTGACACACATTTAGGCAAGAAGCGACCGTCCCAGGGATGACTTGGCGGCAAGAGGCATGAAACAGGCATAACAAGGGACAGAAAAGCAGATAAACACAAGTCTTACAGTTGAAGAAAACCAATCGGTAGAGACAAACTTGTGAGCCGGAGGATGCTACTTGCGGGGTAGTAGAAACGCGTTGAGGAATGGTTGTGGGCGATGGTGGGAAGAGGGCGATGCTCATTTGGTCTTGGCCATTGAGCTATTGGCCATTGAGCTATGAGCTTCTTTGTTATGATCTTCCGATGCTCTTCGGACTTATTGGACTTTAATGACATCGTAATTTGGCTCTACTCGCCATGCGAGTGAGCTTGGGCTTTATGGGTGCGTATCATTCCCATTTTTCCTCACGCCTTGGCTGATTTTGCCGGTCATTCGGTCCATCATCGGATTCACCGCTTGTCACCAACAGCAACGGTAAACAATGTGCAAAAGCCCCGATAAACAAGGCCACAGCAGAAAGAAAGGACAAACTCGACGTAGTGGAAACCAGGGAAGCCAATCCTTCGAGACAACCATTAAAATCCGAACAATACCTAGTAGAAGATTTACCATGGCCCCTGCAGAAGGACGACACGCATCAAATGTCATCAATCAAGAAACGTTCTACATTAAGTTTGGAAAAAAAAAAAAGAAAAAGGGAAGGGAAAAAGAAAATATCAATTTAGAAATGGTCCAAAAACAATCCTACGTTTTTTATTTTGGAATCCGACTT